TCCATAATAGTTCCTGAAGCTCTACATAATATTATCAAAGAAACTAGGTTTGGAAAAGTAAGTGAAAAAGTCAGTAAGAGAAAAAAATATAATATTAAAGCAGGATGCAGTGTGACAGAAGAAAGCATATTATTTAATAATGAAGACATTATAGAAGATGCCATAAATACAAATACAAAAGAAAAAAAGAAAGAAAAATAAATAAATACTGCTAAAAAAATGAAAAAAATGTATTAATTGAAGGTGTTAGGCGAAGAATGTTAATAGTTAATGAAACTGAAATTGATTATAGTGATCAAAATATATTAAACGAGTATGATTACATGATAGTAACTGATGAGACTGAATTTAGTAATAACATTGTACAAAATATATTTAATGATAATGATGGTGATATTATAGATGAGACTGAATATAATAATATAAATAAGACAGACAAATACTCTACACCAACTAACTATAAGACTGAAGAAAAAAAAAAAATCTGATGAAATAATTGTTAATGATTTTGTTATGGTCAAATTTGAAACAATTAAAAAAAACATTGAAACGTTTATAGGCCAAGTAACTGAAATTGAAGAAAATGAATATACTTGTAAATTTTTAAGAAAAAACAACCAGATGACGGGCTTTTATTGTTTCCCATTCATAATTGATGAAGCGACTGTCTCAAGAGAACAAATTATCAAAAAAATGGTTGTAAAAAACCAAAGAAGAGGCAATTTCCAATTCCAATAGTACTTACCCTAAGTATTAAGTATTATTATTAAGTTATAGGTACCTAGCTATTAAGTTATGTTTTCCTATTAAAAAAGTTTTTATTTTGTTTTTATCATGTTGTTTATATTTTTTTATTTAAATATTAAGTTTAGTGTTTAAAAAAGGTAAAGTTAACCTGTTTCTTTTTTATATTTATTTAACATGTATTTGTGTTTATTTTGAAGTAACTATTAAGTTATGTTTTTCTATTTAGAAAGAATTTTTATTTTGTGTTTATCATGTTATTGATATTTTATTATTTAAATATTGAGTTTACTGTTAAAAAAAGGTAAAGTTAACCTGTTTCTTTTTAATATTTATTTAACATGTTCTTGTGTTAATTTTTAAAATAAAACTTTTGTTCCAAGTCACCTCTAACGTTCTTGAATTGAATTTCACATTAAATTTTCATAGCTGTTCCAAGTCACCCAAAAATCGAGGTGACTTGGAACACGTACTTTTTACTTTTTTTTAAGTTCAGTTTTGGTCAAAAAACTAAATGAAAGGTCTTATCCTATTCATGAGACGTATGCAAACATATTTTATGTATTTTTTGTAGTCCAGTGCGATTTTTTTTAACCCTTTAAAGGGCATAATTCTATGCTTACAACAGACAAAAAAAAATTATATTTTTCAATTTCTATAGTCTTTAAGACATTAAAAATCATGTTATTTACAACATCCCTCAATCAGGGTAGTTCTGAGGGGTTGTTTTTGAGGTGGTAAATATATTTACCACTGCTCATGTATAATGAAGTAAGGTGGTATATATATTTACCACTGCTCATGTATAATAAAGTAAGGGGGTATATATATTTACCACAGACCATTCACAACTTTTTATATATTATGTACAAAATAATTAAATAATTAAATAAACAAATAATAAATATTATTTTTTTATTAAAAAACAAAGAAATCAACAAACTAATTAAAAATAAAACAACAAAATTAAAATTCAGACTCAAATAAAATAAAAGAGTATACAACAAAATATTGCTATTTTAAAATCATAAAAAAAACAGAGCGACAACAAATTATAGAAAGTATTTTAAAATTACAAAACATAGTATTACATAGTATTAAACAAAATAGTAAAACTTAAAAAATAAATAAAGAAGCAAATACATATTATAAACTTAAAACATATTCAAACTTTATAAATTGAATATTCAGACTTAATAAATAATTACAACTAACAAAGTAGAAGTAAATACATCACAAAACCTTACCTTTTTAAAAATTAAAAAAAAACAAAATTAAATTAATAATAATATAAAATATTTCAAACATGCCTACATTTTTAATAAAATGGTATGCATTGTATACAACAAAATAGTGTTTTAGGGGTTCTTGTGGAAGGGTGCAAAACATTCTAAACAAAGTGCAATATCACACATTTTGCAAATAATGTTTGAACGTTTCTGTGTCTCTTTAGTACTACAATATCCACAGCGACGATATGTACCTTTTGTTGGTAAATGATCACCAACATTTTGTAGGTAATATTGGTTGCCAACAATCACTTTTCCAGTTTTTTTTGTCAATTTTCTTTGCATTGACTTTTGAATACCCGGTTTTTTTTTTGAAGAATAATCACCAATTAATTGATTTGCTAATGTTGATCTGAAATTTAGGTGTGTATATTTTGATGATTTTGGGTCATGGAGATTACTAGTAGTTTGATATAGCACAAATGAATTTACTATAGAAGCATCTAGAAGATAATAAAATATTTTTAGCCACCATCTTCTGGACTTCCAGGCCACATTGTAGTAAGAATGAAACTGATCAAAATGGTCGACACCCCCCCATATACTTATTATAGTCTACAATAGCAGCTGGAGCCTTCACTACTTGTTTAACTCCTAGATTGTCTCTTCTAGAAACAGAACCAATACAACTGCCATCATTCATATTACTAATTACATTTACACACTTTTTTCCTCTGTCTTTCCACTTACTTATAGTTATTTCATTAGAAGTAACTACATCAAACTGACCTTGTTTTAGTTTTTTGTCATCTTTTAGAACACTAGATGGAAAATATTTTTTATTTGATTTGATAGTACCACATGCAAAATTATTTTTCTCAACCATATTTTTCACCATAGGAATATTACTGAAAAACCCATCAAAATAAAAACAATAGCCTTTGTTGTCATAAAGATTAGCTAAATGTGTCACAACTTTTTCTCCAAGACCAATTTCTGGATCTCCTTGCTTGCCTTGGTATACTTCAAACTGTAGTAGGTATCCAGTCTTAGAACATGCAGCTGCCCAAATTTTTATACCTCGTTTGATTGGTTTAAGTGGCATATATTGTTTAATTGTGGTTCTTCCCTTGAAAGCAACCATACTTTCATCTATAGCAATATTTCTAGATGGGTTGAAATTTGAAAAAAACTTTTCATTTAGTTTGTTGATCAGCGGTCGCACTTTGTATAATTTATCATAATTAACATGTCCCCGTTTAGGCATAGTTAAATTATTATTCAAATGGAGAAATCGTAGTATAGACAGAAATCTTTTTAATGACATAATAGATGATATCCTTGGGACTTGAAAATTGGCATCTGTTGACCAGTAAGAACGAATAGTAGGTAATTTATGAAATCCCATTATGATGAGACAGCCAAAAAAGGCTTGTAGTTCTTCAATTGAAGTAACAAATTGTTGATTACATTGAGCAGCATATAATTCAGATTGAGTCTTGAAAGTATATAGAATATCATCATCAAAAAACAGTTTAAAAATATCAATTGGACTATTTATATCAACAGGTACTTTGGGTCCAAAAGGTTGTGTGAATTTATATCTCCTAAATGTTTTAGGTCTACAACCTTTTTTTTTCCATTTGAAAATCAATGTTGGTTGAGGAAATTTTTTTTTTTTTTTTGTTAATTTGTTGCTTATTGGCAAAATGTTAGGAGAAACAATATTATCTACATTTATTTCAGTAGACACATCACCATTTTCAATTATTTCTATGGGCATACTCATAATGTCAAAATCATTTGGAGAAAAATTGAGAGTAGGTGGTGGTGTGCTACTAGATATACTTGATACTGGTATGGTTGGTGATTTGGTTACATCTGGTTCATATGCTGGAGAATCAGATTGTGATGAAGTACTTCTTGTATTTTTGTGCTGTGGACTAGTTATTAATAATCCGTCTTCAAAATCTGAATCACCATCAATATCAGAGCATTCAGCTTGCTCATCAGTGATTGAAAATAAATAGTCCCTTACACTATCTTCATCCATACTAAAATCATAAAAATAAATTACTTATTTATTTGATATACCTATACCTGTTTGCTAATAAAATAATATAAGTATAAATTTAAAACATACCTGTATGCTTGAATATATATTAATATAAATTGTGTTTACATCGCAAAGATGCAAATTCACGAACCGTAATCGAATGTAATCAGTTCATTTTCACGACCCTATCATATTTTGAATTTGGATATTATCTTTTCGAAAAGGAGCGAAAAATAATTGATTACTTCATATCATGTTAAATTTTCACGTGATTTAGAAAATAAAACAATCATCGGTGTGGCTACACTGGTTGCTTGATAAATCAAATATTTCAATTATTGTTAAGAACAATTTCACGTGACCAACAAGTGAGCAGTGGTAAATATACTTACCACCTTTTTTTTTTTGTTATATCTACTGACCAATGAAGTCTTAGCAAATAAAACTTATAATTTATTGATGATAAACATTCTAAGAACACATCTTAGATCATATAATCTATGATCATATGATCTAAGGAACACATAGACACCAAAATTGGACACTTAACATCAATAATGAGTGTCATATCACACATTTATTGAAAAAAACCTAGTGGTAAATATGGTTACCACTATTCGCTAAAGGGTTAAGCTCAGAATAACAAGAAGTATGTCAAAATCGTTCCAAGTCACCTCGATTGACGGTATATAATAATATTATTGTACTATATCAGCTGTACAATGATTTAGACAAATGCATGTACCTACACTGATTTGATCATGACCAATCAGATAACCTTATTTCCTTTATCCAAATTCCCGGCTTTTGGACAAGTGAGTTATCTATTCTGTCAAAATTGTTTAACTGTTTTCAATTTTAATTTTTGATAAAGTTTAAGATTCCGTATTTCTGTTCATCAACTTACATTCAACACACGTTGGTCACAGAAAAGGGTTAAATGTCGTTTGTTTAATCATCCAAACAGAATTATGGATGATTTTAGAAGATCAGCAATATTTGCTGATTTGGACACAAGTAGATACATATTTATATTATGACACATTCAAATGTTTAATATTTTTTGTAGAACCTTTCATTGTCGCCTCCATAATATGTGTATTTTTGCAGGCCACGATGAATCTCAATTAGATTTCACTGATGATTTGTCTAAATCAAAATTTAGAAAATCTCATTTCAATTTGTCTGTTTCATTGACACCCGGGGAACTTAGTGCTATATTTGATACAACTGTAGCTCAACCAAGGTTAAATTGTAAGTTTTGAAATTGTTATTATTTTCTCTGGAAAATAATGTAAAAAATAATAATTAATAATATGTGTTATATATTTCAATAGGTGAAAATGGATTGTTCAATCAGTTTCTAGATGTTCTTCAAGCGTTTCGCATTAGTTCACCTCTACAACTTTGTGAAATTCTTCAATACTTTATTGACAACTGTATAGACACCATATCCATTTTAAAAGATCAAAATCAAGTAAAAAAATTACATCATTTTATTCAATAACATTATTTTAATATACTATGTTACTTTGTATGCATGTAGAATGTAGATTGGTTAGAACAGGAATTAAATACATGGCGTTTACTGTTAACATTATTTCAAGTACAACATTTAGAACCTGAAAAAGTTGACAAAATAGTTAGCGAACGAGATTTAGCAGATGCATTGTTCAAAGAAGATCAGAAATTAAAAGGGGTAATTTTAATTATTTGTTTTTTAAATAATGAAGAAATGTATATAAATTGTTTGTGTTATTACCAATGTTTAAAATTGATATTTATATTCAGATACAAAGAATTGTCGATTGGTTAGAACATTGTGCTGCTGAGAGTATGGAAAATGAATTCATGAAAGATGCAAAACATTTCTCTGATGAAGAAGTTGCCTGGCCAAATACCTTGGGTCAACTATTGGTATATATCTGAGTACCGGGTGATTCATTTACCGCAGGCCACTCATTATTCAAAAAGTATTAACGTTTTTGAAAATATTTATTTTATATGGTTTCCAGCCATTACAAAATAAGGTTTTTATTATAAAATTATATTTTTTAACCTTATAATTTTTTTCTGTTTTTTTTGTGAAATATGTATTTTTTTTATTTTTTATTTTTAACAACTAGAAACCATATCATTTTTTTTTTTCAATTATTTTTCATTTATACTTTTTGAAATAATGAGTGTTCAATGATAAAAGTATCACCTGATATAATATAATATTATCTTTTTTTTAACAATATGGATAGAACACCTAACATTTTTAAGATTTACCTACAAAGTTATGTTTTATATGATTTTAGAAAAAAGAATTAATATATCAAAGTTCCGGGTCTATGGTCACTCAATTAGATCCAGATGCACCTACCAGACAATCGAGATCTATTCATGATCTAGACCAGGTATGTGCTTACTTATTATTATTTAGCTTTTTGTATAATAAATGTAAAATTACTCGTCTTGACTAATTATCTTATCATATTTATTATCTGTAAAGTTGCCACAAAGATTTTTAAATATAACCGAGGAATCGAGTGTCTGACCTTTAATATTTTACTGATGGTTAATATGTGGAGACCATAGCGTTATTTTTTCTTAAAACTTCTACAACATTAATAAATATAAATCAATTAAATAATTTAGTATTTAATCCTCAAAAAATATTTAACAATTTAAAAAAAAGAAATGTTTAATATATAATTATCAATCCTTAAAATATGGTTTGTATATTCAAATTGATTCTGAATGGTTAGGTATGGTGAAACTCTGAAGCCAACTTATTTCAGTTATATTTTGCTTGGTTTATAGCAGGGCTTAGCACCCGAATCATTTATTCGGGTTTCGGGTGTTCAAACACCGGAATAAAAAGTTTAAACAAACATTCGGGTTTTCAAACCGCTATTATTTGGTTTAATATTGGTTAATACGGGTGTTAAGTAGTCTGGAAAAAACATAGCTTTTGATGACCCCTCCGCCCCTATTATTAATAATAACAGCAACAAAAATGCGTGAGATGCATCGCACTGTGATACAAATTACAAACATACAGTTTACCACTTGCAAAGTTGACGGATGAAATAAAATGTTTAAAATAGGTAGGCTAGAGCCATATTTAAAAATTGGTTTTAAAACTACCTAATATATCTTAGTTAATAGTTTCTAATATATTATATAATTAAATAGGTTGACGATGATAGACTTCTAACCCAAGTGTTTACTGAGATTCGTTGTGGTCGATTAGAAAAAGCTGAATTGTTGTGTTGTCAGTATGGTCAATTTTGGAGGTCAGCGATATTGGAAGGTTGGCGGCTGTATCATGATCCGTTTTATAAACCTAAAGAAGAACAGAAGCCTACAGACGAAGTACTCGGGAATCCAAATAGGCATGTAGTTTTTTTTTTACCTTTATTACAAAACAGGTATTTCACACATACTATAATATGTCATCATACATTATAGAGATGTTTGGAAGGCCTGCGCTTGGAAAATATCATCAAATAATAAAATTTCACCTTATTGGAGAGCTACAATTGGAATATTATGTGGAAACATTGATGCCGTATTGCCTGTCTGTAACCGATGGGAAGATATTTTATGGGCACATCTTCATACCATAGTAAACGTAGCTGTTGAAAGCCACATACAAACCCACAAGTCAAACAACTTTATAAGTTTACCAGAGAAATATTGGGAGTATAAGTAATGTGATTTTTTTTTCGTTTACAATTATTTTTTCTGGAAATTTAAAATTAATTTTCATCCTTTTTATTTTATAGAATGTCATTGGATGATATTGTGTCCGAATTAAAATCCAACCCTAAATTGGCAGTACGTCAGGAAGCACATAAACCCAAACGCCAAATTCAACAGTATTTTATGACTAATCAGTTTCGCGAATTAGTGAATATCATGGCAGATTGGGCTGAAAACAGTTTGGAATCAGATGCTCAATTTTTGCGTTTTCTTGCACATTTAATCTTGGTCATTCGTTGGGCTGGAATTGAACATGATGAGCTTGCTGCCAATTTAATAATACAGAAATATATTGAGGTATGTATATTTGAATTTAAAAACACGAACAATTACTCATAATAATATAACTATTCATTGTTCTGCAAATTTAATTTAATTATAATTTTTACTAGGTTTTAATTCCCATGAATGATCCAATGTTAGTAGCTTATTATACATCTCAATTGGAACAAAATAGTCAAGTTATTATATATTCCAAGTTCCTGGAAAAAATGGTTTTGTCAGAACAACGAACTAGTGGACTGATGGCTGCTGAAAAGTTTTCACTTCCAGTTGAAGAGATAACTAAACGTATTGTTGAGACGTACAGGTACATATTATATTTTTTTTTTATTAATGAGATCAAAAATTATATTTTCACATTTTCATATTTTGTAATTGTCAACAATCAATAAATTGATATAATTTGTATGTTATATCATAGTCAACTATATTTATGCAATGTAAAATAATAAAATATGTAATAACCAAAAAAATTATAGAAACCGATTCACTAATATGACAAATGGCCAAGACCTATTTTCGGAAATTACCAATGATGACAATGAACTAATTTCTGCATTAGATTGGATAATTTATTATCCTCACCAAGTAGAGGAGGCATTTATGCAAATAAATGCGGTTGTACGTAATTTTGTTGCTCAAGGAAAAATCCAAGCAGCCCGCTTAGCATTTAATAAGGTATTTTACTTTATTCCAGTCAAATAAAAATATAATACCATTAAGTAAAACTTTAGGTTCAGAAGGATTCAATCACTAGATTATTGAATAATGCTGATATTGATATTGAAAAACTTTTGATGCTGGATATGGTATCAGTTTCTGGAAAAATACAATCACTCATCGGGGAATATTTAGCTTATAAATGTTATTTGGTAAGTAATTTTCTATAATTTTGAATATCAAGTGTAAATTTTCAAATAAGATTATTCATGCATTTTAAATTTAGGATGCGGAAGAAGGATTTGCTGAATGGTTTCATGAATATCATCAAACCAAACCAATTGAACCTGTCAAACTACATGGAAATGTAGATTATGCTAAAAAATTGATCTACGATCACAACATGGAACAGTATCAAACGGCATTAGGCAATTGGAAAAAGAATGTATCCAGTTCATCACAAGTAAGTGTAGTTATTTTGTTGTATTTAAAATGATGGTAAAATATTAATTTAAATTTTCAGATTGTTGTTGAACAACTCTTTAATCTGCTTTTTTTCCCCAATGGCTGGCTTGTTGACTACCAAAATGAGGACAAAAATCGTCATGAACACTTTGAACGTCTGCGAACTATATGTATTCCAAAGGTGAGTATTTATAGTGGTAAATAGTTAATACCACATAATTTTTTTACAACCTTAGTAGTTTTAAATTATTTTCAATCCCCGGCCATCGGGCGGCATTTTTCTCTTAGCAAGTCACGGTGTCCAGAGAACAAGTGCCGCCATCCCCCCACTCCGGGGCATGGCAGAAACCTACGGGTGCCCCAATAATAATTCTGCCACCACAAACACACATGTTAACAAACCTACCGACTCCCCCTACAGTACCACAGGCTAATGACCATTAGTAGTTGAAGCCTTAACCTCAAAAAAAAAAAAAATTATTTTCAACCAACTTGTGTAAAGATATTAAATAAAACCCATTTTTGTTTTTATTTCAGATTTTTTTGCTGTTACATACTATATTGCATTGTGCTGAAAGATATACTGAATGTATCAAGTTAGCTGGTTATATAACAGATAAGACCAATAAGTTCTACCAAGTAATTGCAATAAGAAAGAATTTAAAAATAAAAATATCTTAATCATTATACATGAACATTATTTTCAGTTATTCACTCAAGCTGATCTAAAGAAGTTATTAGCAAAGATTGCTGAATCATCGGTCTGCATAATGGAATCACATGATCAACAATTAGATCCTTGGGGATTTAAAAAATAAATAAATAAATTTTTTGTATGCTTTAAGTTCTATTTTTAAGAAAATATGATGTCATATTTATTTTTTTTGTCTTAAATATACATTACATGGTAAATTTACATTCAGCACAATCAATACTTTCTTATTATTTTTATATATTAGAATTAATTGACTCATTATACTACTTGAGGTGTAGAATTGTATTACACTTTTATCTGTTTAATGAATTCAATTTTTAAAATTGATCAAATAGATCATATAATATCAATAATATTCAAATACATTTTGAAGTTAAAGGACAATGCAATATTTAGGTATTTTTTAAAATTTAATAAATATAACAAATAACGTGCTTAAATGTATAATAAAATATAAATTTTCATTTAGTTTATTCTATGTTTAGAAAAACTTCTATAATTTTAAATTTGAATTCTTCTTACAAGAATTTTTAAAAATAAAACATTAAAAAAATATCTTCAATTTAATAAGATAAAAATATCATTTTTTAAAACAATTATGTCATATTTATACACATGTATTTATTAAATGTCGACATAAAATTATAGAATATAGAAAATGCAGAGGTACAACAGCTGTATAATCAATATAATATTTATTTTGATTTTATAAAATAGGATATTTTTTTTTAGTAACTAATGTAACCTAAATAAATAGAGAAATTGCATTCGAAGTTTCAGAATTCGTATGATCTGTAAAACAAAATAAAATAAGTATTAACATTTTTATTAAGTACAATATAGTGCGACCAAGTCAAGAAGATCACCAAGTAACATGGGGCAAAAGCGTTTTAGATTGTTAATTGATAATTTTCATAACTTGGTTGCACTATTAATAATGAAAATTTGAATTAACAAAAAATTTAAAAATAATTTTCAAAGTACCTATTATATATAAAGTATAAGGCGTATCTATAACTTAAAAAAAGCAGACATTACATTTTATATTTTCACCATCTACTGCATATTATATAATATATATTATTAAATAGTATATTATTTAATATATAGTATTAAATTATATTTATAAATATTCTTTACAATGACTAATTGTTAAATGAATATCAGTAGACAGAAGCAGGTCCGGATTTAAGAGGATGTGATACCCGCATGTGTTGTCTCTGACTTACAGGTGCATAACATACCAAATTTTACGCTCAGCAAAACACATGTAGCTCCGTTAATTTATAAATTAGAGTAAAATTAGCTCTTATCAAATCTAAAGATAAGATTATTATCTAGACAACTGCATGGACTTTTTATTATATTTTAATTTTTAAATGAGTTATGAGTACTTTAAGATGTACAAACAATTTACTATTTTAAAATTAAAATATAATAAAAAGCCCATGAGGTTGTTTAGATAATAATCTTACCTTTAGATTTGATAAGAGGTCAATTCACTCTAATTCAAACGTGTTTTGCTGAGCGTAAAATTTGGTTTATTATATACGTGTAAGACAGAGACAACACATGCGGATTTCACATCCTCTTAACAGCAAAAATTAAATACAAGGGACTTAAGTCCTAGAATTCAAAGTTTTAAACCTAATATTTAAAAACTTAATAGGACAATGAACATAAAAAAAACTAGATGTTTACAAGGATCTTCATTAATATAGGCATGAAGAAATGAGGGGCTTCAATTTAGGTTAAGTAGGACTATTTTAGGGTGTATGTAAACCAACCACAGTCCACAGTTTTAATATTGAATGTATAATTTACGTTTAAAGACCCAATTTATCTTAAAATATTAAATTTTTATATCATTCATTTTTTTGTTTTTAATTAAAGTATTTTGTTCAATAAATTAAAAAAAAAACTTCAATAAAATCAACAAAATTGAATTTAACCAACTAATCTGTTCTAATCTTTTGTATATAAATTAAAATTTATTTTAAAATGAATTCACTAACATCCGCTCTATTTTAAATATTTATTTAAAGACAATAATGATTTAAATAATTACCCAATTCTAAATAGGTAATACGTTAAACATTATTTGGATGTAAGGAAAACATTTAAAAGGACCATGGAATTCTCACCTTTAATACTGATGACTAGGCTGATACATCCATCATTCATATTAATACCACACGCTCTCGCTCACATGTCGTAAACTGCTAGAAAATGCTCACATTACATCAAAGTAGTATCGAATATTTTGTAGAAAACTATTACTAATGCAATTATTTATATATTATAAATTATAACAACACTCAATGGAAAGATGAAAAAAAAAACCAAAACACACAATATTTATAATAACACTCACAAAATATAACAGTCATAAATTACAATTTATTTGTTTTTAACACATAATACTATAAATGAATTGCAATGTGATTAAGTAATTAAATAGTTGAAAAGTATTTTTTATTTAATTGGTTTGAAATATGAGAACTAGTTAATTAATATGACTAGGATAAATGAAAGGAAGGGAAGATGAAAAAACACCTTTGGTCAATCTTTAACCATCACAATTCACATTAATTTAGTCTAAAAATAGCAGATTACATTAATTACCCCGGCGTTTCCAGTCTTGTACTTTTCCATACGTACGATGGGTTTGGTAAGGAATTGGTTGTGTTTGATATGCAACTTGGTTAAGTGCTGCAGCGAGCATTCCATTTGTTAGAACACTACTCATATATTGTTGTTGGTTGCTAACTTGTTTATCCTATACAATGTCAACTCCAGTATATAAAATTGAAAAACATGAAAACTGTTATTCAACTTACCCTGTTTTGGTCAGACTTAGGATTTGCTTCAGATATATGAAGAGATACTCCTTTAACAATATGGTCTTCATCACAGAGGCTTTGTGCTACAGAGGCATCGTTAAAGGTAACAAACCCGAAGGCTCTAAATGGTTTTGGTATGAATACATCGGTGATCTCGCCATACTGAGAGAAATATTTACTTAAATCAGGTTCACTAATATCTTCAGTAAGGCGGCCAACAAATATCTTGTGCGGTACTTTGGAATAATATCCTTCCTAATAAAATATAACAATAAAAGTTCTGTTTTCAAATCTTTATATGTAACCTGAAATTTCTTTTTAGAAGATTATAATATTATTAAATACAATATTCCAGTCTAAATTTTTTTTATTTTAGCCTAGTAACCTTTAAACACTAAACTATAAACTTGAAAATCAAAAAAATATGGAATCTTAACACTTTGGGGGTGCATATGTATATAGTAAGCATATACAAAATAGTTGTTCATGTATTTAAGGTAATAACTATACCAAAAAATATTACTTTTGAGGCAGGTATTTTGACTTCAACCCATCGATTATTAACATAATGCCGCTGTCCGAGGGCTTTTGCCTGAGAACTATAATCTTCATATCGAATAAAACCAAATCCTTTAGAATTTCCAGACGCATCTCGCTTTATCTGAACATAAATTGAATTAAGTCGTCATATACTTTCAATTAATGCAAACATTGTTTAATACCTGCACCATGACTAGTTTTCCGAATTGTACAAAATATTCTCGCATTTGAGTTTCTGACAGTTGATAAGGTAAACCCAAGACAATCAGATCCGTACAGTTCATACTGTGGTAACCCTTAGAAGGTTTGCAGTCAGTCTCTTCTAGTTTTCTCTTATCGCCTTTTAAGGAAAAATAATAATTGTAATACAACATGAAAAACCCATCTCCAAGGTACAGGCCAACTCAATTTGGACCATAATGTTATTAGTAAGTAGCTAATAGTTACACACCCTTGGGATGGACACAGTAGAACTTGTGACCAGCCCAACTGCCTTCGGGAGCGTGGAATTTACCGTCGTACAGTCTAAGTGCTCTGTACGGTGAATATGAATCGAGACGGAACTTGAGACCTGTGACTCCGGGAAAGTATGCGCTCAGTGTAGCTGTTGAAAGAGTACCATCGCTCTCCAACGGTATCTCCATAAAATCTTCGCCTTCGCATTCACACACCGGAATATACTTTTCTGTGTTTTCCATTGTTTATTATATTTACGAAATATTACTATAGACCGAAAGCGTCGAATTCTGGATACCAGAACGACTAACGATGTATAGATATCAGATAATTAATTAATATAACAATATCGTTATTGTGTTATTCCAATAGCGCAAAGATTAAAGAATATTTCGTCAATTTCGTGATTTATGAATATTATGGAAGCGGTATGGTAAATAATAATAATAATAATAGTAAGCAATAACACAGATTAATATATTATGATCTGCGGCAATAATAATGATGTACCTACCCAGCGTAAAAAAAAATAAATTTAGATAATATTACAAGCTATGTACACAGTAAAACATAGTAACGAGTAACAACAAACTGAACTAACAATAATAATATAACAATACAAAAAATTACAAACTTTATTACAAAGTGTATTTTTTTAGTGATTATCAAGTGTTTTATCGGACATTCGGACATCGGTGTGTCTGTGCGGAGTGCTCAGGTTGTCACCACTGTATCGTGTTAACCTCAAACAGCCGTCCCGGTTCATACTTGAAATCAGTTCGAGCCACAGAAAAATAACAAGTCACTAAAAAATAGTAATAAAAATATTCTCCGACAGATACAGATTACAATATTCGCTAATCATTGTTCGACTTTTTGATTTTTATTAGTTAGTTCTGTTCGTTTTGGAAACAAAGTATAATATAACAAGAAACCAATCCAAACATTATGGTAAGTTCAATAATTCATTATTGTTATTATTTCTTTCCCGAACTCTAATAACCGAAGAATATTAATGTAAAGATATTGCAAAGTTATTGAATTCAATATAGCCATAGGTAATCGTTTATTATTCACAATGTTTGGCAAGTTCCTTATTAAAAGGAATTCGTTCCGTTCCTTGTTACTCAAAAAAAAAAAAAGAATTCGTTCCTTTTTTAGTTCCAAATAAAATAAATATTCTCATTTAATCATTAATGTTTTTTTTTCATATTAGGTATACTTACTTCTTTAATTTTTAATTATAGTATGTAACTACAAGTAGGTACATATTTTATGTTTATGTAATATATCATTATATAATTTAAAATTTTCTTCAAAATTAAATTTTTGGCTAACGTATGTCAATTGTCTTAACGTCAATAACAATCACTAATTAGCAAGATACATTATATACATTAAAAAAAAATATACCTCAATTTCAATTTTTACATACTTATCTGTGTACATTATTGGAACTAGAAAGAAACAAACAATTTTGTTATTTTTCTTTAAAAAAAAAGAACTATTATTTTATCGTTCTTTTTTTTATAAAAAAGAAAACATTTTGTTGATTGTGCCGTTCTTTAAAAAGGAATTCGTTCCAGGAATCCGTTCCTTCCAAACATTGATTATTCAGTTTATTATAAGCCAAGAGTACCTATACTGTATACTCCGTTATGTATATTTCAATAGAAGCTTTATTACATTTACAACTTGACATAATATGTCATTTAGTTAAAATATTCAATCATAACAGTTAGTCTTCAGTTAATCTTTAGGGAGATGAATTCCAATTTAATATAGTATTATGACAATGATTTATGTTGCATATTATTCCAATATTTAATTATTACATTTCTTTTCATTGTTGTTTAATTATTAAGATCGTTCACAGAATTGACTATTGACAGGATTTTAAGTATTGCAATTTTCATACTTATTTTGTTTAGATAGTCCAAAATTCAACAAAGTTTTTGTTTTAAAAAAGTTTATATTGGCAATTTTGGGTCTATTATAAGTTTATTATAAAAGGTAGATTATCTTTAAGTAGGTAGATATATTTATAATATGCCTGATCAGGTAACCATTAGGTACAATATATCACTACACGAATAATTGCATTATTGAGATACAATTAAATTATTTTGCAACTGTTTGTTTGTCTTGGGTCTTGATATTCAGTTTTCATTCACCTTAATTTAGTTTTTATTAGGTACATTTTTAATTTATCTTATTTTTTATTTCAGTTTCGTAACCAGTATGATAGCGATGTAACAGTATGGAGTCCCCAGGGCCGCTTGCATCAAGTGGAATATGCTATGGAAGCTGTAAAATTAGGTTCAGCAGTAGTTGCATTAAAGAACAAGACACATGCTGCTATTGTTGCACTCAAGCGTGCACCAAATGAACTATCGGCTTATCAAAAAAAAATTATACTTGTAGATGATCATCTTGGTTTTTCATTCTCTGGTTTATTGGCTGATGCTCGCATACTTAGGTAAAACTTAATTAATATATACATTTTCAAAAATTATTTTGTAGCTTTATTGTAGTACCTCCTAAAATGTAATAAATAAATAATTATATTTATTTGTTTGTAGCAAGTATATGCGATCGGAATGTTCTTCACATAAGTTTGCCCATGGAGATGACCTTCCTGTTAATAGATTGATGACCAAAGTTAGTAACAGAATGCAATTGTGCACACAGCGATATGATAAACGCCCATATGGAGTTGGTCTACTTGTTGCTGGTTATGATGTGAGTATTTACTTCATAAATATTATACATTAAATTTAGTTTTGTGACTTAGTATAAGAATGATCAATGCAAACTTTTATTATTACCTATTAGGCTCTAAATTTAAAGCTTTAATATTTCCTACCATAATATTAGCCTTGGTGAACTAAAATCCAAATTGCCAGTGCATATAAAGTTGTATAAAGTGGTTAAAATTGTGTAATAACAATGGCCCGTTCTTACTCCAAGCCACTACGAATCACAAAGTTAATAGTTTATGAATTGATGTATGTTGTAATAGGATAATGGTCCTCATATTTATCAAACATGTCCTTCTGCAAACTACACAAATTGTAAAGCTATGGCTATTGGCTCAAGATCACAAAGTGCTCGTACATACCTAGAAAGAAATTTAGATGCATTTAAGGAGGCAAGTTTGGAGGAATTATTGAAACATGGTATGAGAGCTTTGAGAGACACTCTGCCCAATGATGTCAATCTAACTTCAAAGGTAATTACTTTTATTTAAAGTTAACAGAGCTATTATTAATTTGTATAATTTATTTTATAGAATGTTTCAATTGCTGTTGTGGGCAAAAATCAGCTATTTGAGATTTATGATGAGGAAACAACTCAATCAAAATTATCATTAATTGAAGGTGAGGAAAGAAGAGCCCCTGTTCCAACAACCGATTCATCAAGTGGTGGATCTCAGCCACCACAAGACGGACCTGGTGGTGCCCCTCCTAGCGATTCTGTACCAGCAGTTGCAATGGAAACAGAATAATCATAATGGAACTTAAGTTAAGAATTAAGAATATTATACATTTTTTTTTTACTAATATGCCTCACTTGATTAAATAAAACATTGGATATTGAATTTTTACTCTATTTATTTTAAAAACAAAATTATAAATTATAAATTACTTAATAGTAATATTATGCTTTGGTATACATTTTTTTATAATTATTTACAGATTTTTTCCCATTATATTTAATAGTAAACTTGATAGTTAAAGATTTATGTCTAACACTCCTCTTCATTAACTTGGTAGCAATATGTATTTTATTCCAGTAGAACCTCGATTATTCATCTCCTGATTAATTGTCTTTCTTGGTTAACCATCGGGGAGCCAAATTTTGCGAGAGCTGTCTTAACTCCTGGATCTTCTTGTAATATCTGCTTGATAGGCAATAATATGTTAAACAGTCTTGTGATTGCGGTCGTGTCTTATATTGAAAAGTCAAATAAAGAATTACAAATGTTATAGTAATAGTAATCATATAAATATGTTATGATTATGAAAAAATAATAAGTAATGGTAATATACCAATAATGTATTAATTGTTTAAAAAAAATTTTATTTCTCGTTTATCTTTCTTTTCTATTATCTTCCAAGGCTCTAGAGTCGAGAAGGTTTATCAAAGTTCCACTGTAGGTAATATTCTTAACACTAAGGTGCAACCTTATAAAATATAATATATTTGTTTATTAACATAAGGAATAGTGTCGGGGGAACAAAAAATAGTACTGTTACTATAAAATAAAATGATCTTGATTATTGTAAATAAACATCAATGTTTCAACTGTTCCATCAAATTAAATATTTTTAAGGCATGTTTACATTTAGTTGATGTGAATTGATATAGTTTATGGTTAGCACAAACACATTTATAATAAGTATACTATAATATGCCAAAGGGGAAAAAACACATTGTTACATTATTTAATTATCTAATACATTTATCTGTAATGTCAGGTTTTTATTTTATAATTTAAGTTTGTGTCTATACCATATACGATTCTGCATGTTTGATATGCTCAGCGCAAAATGCTAAAATTATAAAACTAGCCTTGTAGACTGACAATATGTAAATATGTTTGATGCGATTGCAGTGAATTATTAGGAAATTACAGTACCAAATTATTATTTTTTTTTTTTATAAATGTGTAATAATAACATAAATTCCGTTAGTAATAATATTTTTTTTTTTTAAATGCCCTCGTTATTATAAACAATCGGTCATCATATAATAATATCTTAATAACGACAATAATATTTATTGAAATGTACATACAAAGTAATAATAACGTATAGTCGAATAACACACTGTTTGCAATGTACAATATAGGTAAACATAATAAAAAAAGACATTTCAACAATTGGGAATTTTCACACTGATACAGCACCGGATGTAATCATCCGGTCTAGACCAACGTGTCCAACACCCGACAAGCGGCTGCATGATGTTGGGGTTGGTAGTTTTCGACCTGGTTCTGGGGGTTGTGGGGTCGGCCTTGCAGGTGTTCGATGGATCCCATCAGGTACTCGTTCTCGCTGTCCACGATGGCCGCCTCGTACTGCAACTGTTCGATGTAGCCCAGCCTGGCTCGCAGTTCGGTGTCGGTGTCGCGTATCAGCAGAGTGTTTTCGCGGTACATCCGTTCGGTGTCGGCCATCTCGGTCTCGGCCCGTTTCAGCTCGTCCAGCAGTTGCTCCTGGTCCCGGCACCGTTCCACGTTCACGTACAACCGGATCAGACGTTCCTCGAATTCGTACAACTTCTTGTTGATCTTGACGATCCTCTCCAGGTAGCCGATGGCCTCTTGCGTCGACGACGGCCGCGGAATTCCGGAGTCTGCGATTTCGCCGACAACTCCCCGTCCTTCAACACCACAACCTCTATCGTCGTCGTCCTCGTCGTCTTCGTTTTCGTCGTCGTGGTCGTCGTTCTCCACACTGGCGCCTTCGGTGATGCCGCTGTCTTTTTCCTCCTTGTCGTCTCCGCATCCGTCGCCGCCGCCGCCCCCTAGATACGCGTCCAACAGGTAATTCGATCCCAACGCGTCCGCCCGGGTCCTGTGCGTTTCCGTCTCGATCTTCTCGATCTTCTTGTCGCGGTCCTGCAACTTTTTCAGCTGCGCTCGGATTGTGTCGCTCTGCTCGAGTATGAGTTTCAGTAGCTCTTCGGCCGCCTGCGTGTTGCTCAGTCGCTTCGGGTGCACCGTCCGCGAGGCGTACTTGACCACCACCTCCCGGCGGCGCTTCCTGTGAGCACCACGGTAACCACTCATCTCGGACGCTGCATCGTCGTCGTCGTAACCGCCGCCACTGTCAACGTTGTTACCGCCGTCCCGTTGGTGGTGGTGGTGGTAGCCATTGCCGCTCACTTTTCGCAAGCACAGCTTTTGGTCCGGCCGCAGGCTCTGCCAGATCTTCAGCACCCTGACGCCGGGATCGGCCACCATGGTGGCCGTGTGAGCGCCGTCGACGGCCACTGCGTAATCACTGCCGCGACCCGTCAACGTGGTTGCCACGTCGGCGCACGTGGTACGTCGGTCCGCATCGTTGATCCAAAGTTTCTTGTCGTAAAACCATATGGGAATTCTATCGGTCGTCATCTCCTACGAGTAAAAAAAAATTACGCATTAAGACAAAAACGTTTATAATTGCATATACTATAATACTGTATATAATAATATATGAGCACATTGATAAGTGGCACCCTACACGCAGCATTAGAACATCTTAACCCACTGACCGAATTGCAGGTATTCTTACAAAACGACTTGTTTGGCTACCCTGGTACTGAAATTAAGTAAGAGGTATTTAAACACCTTTGCGAAAACAGCTATACGGGAGTAATCCTATAGATGGCATATATTTGTTTTGGTTCACTTTATTTACATTTGTTGAGAAAACCCTACAATACCGCCTATACTACACAGTATAAGTTTCCGGAAGATATGACATATTTAAATGCAATTTCAGTCAATGTCAATTTCTCCGAAGATACGCCTAACGTATATTAAATAATATTTATGTTCAATTTTAATTCGGTTCAAAACCGAGATTTGAGCGGTCCAATAAAATCGAGGAGATCAGTGGCGTATTTACGGGGGGGGTCCCCGGGTCTGGACCCCCCCCAGAAAAAAATATAATATAATATAATTATTACATCGTAACTCGTATGTGTTTTTTTTATATTATAAACTTGTAGGTACCTAATATTTAGACCCCCCCCAGAAAAAATTTCAAAATACGCCACTGGAGGAGATCGATCTCGCAACAATCATTCGTGTGTCACTTAAATATTGTAACATACCTAACTGTCCTAACTATATCCGTATCCGTCTTATTAGTTTCGTTAACAAATTATAATAATATATATAATATAATACATTATATATAGGTTTCCGATAGTCGATAAGCGATCAAATCGGCGTTGCTGCTGGCTGTATAACAATAATAATTAATTATTATTAAAATTATTTTTAGAGATCAAATTTTTAAGTTTAAAATATGTTTAAAAATATTCATTCATATGATATTTGAGTTACCAATATATATATTTTGTCGATTGATTATATAATAATTTTATATACTTTATAATTTATAATATATTTTAATTAAATATATATATACACCAGGTTTCACCAAGATTCGTTAAGTTTCTTCTATAAAGCACTGTCAACTAACAATATTAAGTTGGATGTAAAATATGGAGACAGCCAATGCCCTACGTAGGATTACCCTTAGCGTATTATAAAAAGTTGGTAAATTTCCCCATTTCCAATACTCGAGTGGTGCAGACCACCGCGCCGTTTCGGTTTATCATATATATTAAATATTCATATTAAATCATAATAATTATTAAAGTCTCATCGTGGGGTTCAAATCAAAAATAATTATCATACATTTGACCATACGAACGCCTCACCGTAATAGGTTTTCGGTAGAATTACTGGCCCACAAGTGGATTCCCGTCATTTTATCATATGATCGTATATCTCGGTCAACACATAAATTTATCGAAAAGAGGTTTGGACCAAATTCACTTTGCTGCAGTCATTTGACAATTTTCGTACCCACTATACGCCATTCAGGCCCATTCTGCACGGGTAATATATATAGCTGGGTACAGCTATACTCTTTTTGAAAATGCGAATTTACAATCCTGTTCTCTCGGTGAACGGTTTTCTGCAATCCGTCGATTGCCTAATTTGGTATCGAGAGGGACGTCTCACCCGCAACCGTTGTCACCGTCTCACAAGTGCGTAACATATTCTTACATCGGAAAATGTACATGCTCAATTAAGTCGACTTTTATAGCTTATCGTTAGTACCTATATATACTTAGTTTTAAATATTTTGAAACTGATCTATTGCGCGGGCCATTATTAAACCTAAAACTAGGCGGTAAGCCGGTAACAACAATGTTTTTGGAAGCATTTTTTTTTCGATATTTTAAATTTTGAAGCGAGTAGAAAATGCAGGATTCACCCCTATCTGATGTCGAATATTCAAATTTAAAAGCCCTCAGAATTCGCTCATAAGTTAAAATATCGATGAAAAAAAAAACATCTCCTACGACTAATATACAAGTGTCGACCGTTTAAGTCTTGAATTTTACAGTATTATAGTACCGGATAAATGACCAACCCATAGATTACCTAACCTGTTTTATTTCTGATTTTAGTTATGAGGTTCACTCTGAAAATGGCGAAAACAAAGTTCATACCACTAGCAAGATACATGTACCTACTGGGATTATCACCAAACGGCAACGTGTCATCTAAATCAGTGGTCGATCCACCGTGCTATACATATTTATCTATTTGGTCATTTGGAACTTCTATTTGGATTAATTCGACATTAATAACAAAAACAAAATATCAAGAGTTAAAGTTAAACGTAATATACGTATAGGTATAATATAGGTATACACGTTGTACGGGTTTTCATATGAATTATAATATATTATTATAATGATTAATAACGACGATGCATCAGCTGTAGTGATGATCAAAACAAGACCTTCAAAATCTTGGTTTTGGTCTTACAGACTCAGTCTTGGCCGTCTTCGTCTTGGGTATACACCTTAATTCTTGGTCTTGCAGACTCAGTCTTGGTCTTGGTCTTGCACAAGACTATCTTGCTATTTTCACAAAATATGTAAAAAAAAAACTAAATACCTGTTATAAGCTATAGCTGTGTGTATGTTTTTTGCTATGATTTCTAAGATGAAGCTTAAGTCCAATATATTATACTATAGTGTATTAATAATTCAAACATTAACATAAAGCAAGTCAAACAATTTAATTTTTATTAAACTCGTTTAAATGTTAAGACTGTATTTTAAATTATGCTTATATTATTTTACTTGTATTTGTCTTTGATGAATCAATTTACCAGCATAATTAACTTTGTAAGTTCCCATTACATTTATAATAAAGATCAATAGTTTTTTACTAATTATTAACCAATGACATGTTTATAAAAATTAAATTGTTGTTTTATGATTCTGAGTGGAACATTATGAATGTATTGATTTTACAATGATGCGCGTGTTTTTTTTTTGTGTCTGTCATCACGGTTTGGGGCAGTAAATAAACTGCTTCTTTTTTCTTCGACAGTATCTTGTTCGATGGGAATGTGAATCTAGTTGGTGCATTCGGGAGGTCAAATTTGAAAATTCCCAGTTTTCAAAAGCGCAGGGAAAAACAACATAAAAATTAAGGAAAAACGGGAATTTTTACGCAAAATCAGTTTTCCACAAAATCGATTTTGGTTTTTGGTGTAACTCTAAAACAAATGAAGTTTTCACTGGTTGTTTATAAGACCAAGACCAATTTTGATAATCACTACATTCAGCTGACTTTATCTGAGAGCTCCTTTCGCGAATACGTTTCTTATTCTCGTCAAAATCGTCTTTATATTGTATATAATATATTATATTGATACAAGATATTGCAGGAAACCAGTGTTATAGTGTTTGATAGGTATATTATATTGTGTTGTGGAAAAACTCGAAAACACATTTTAACACCAATATTATTTGTGTTGTAGAAATAATAATATAGTGCGCATTACACCGAAAACGTGAAATACGTATATTTTAGAAACGTGACTTAATAATACTACATACACCCACCTACTGCAGCAGCGAGGCCCTTCAATTTCATTTATCGTATTGGTAATTATTTTTGGAAAGATATTATTTTGATTGCGCGGTGTGGAAAGTCTGATCGATTTCACGATTTTGAATTATGGCGATTCTCTGAGGCTTTAATTTTTATGTTTCTATCACAGAATATTAGTGTTTTTTTCCTTTGTCGTCGTCGTCATTATCATTCACTGTCGGCGCAACAGAGCTGCAGCGACAGCATAGCAATACAGTGAAAGTCAAACGTTTTTGTGCGGGCCGACGCGGACAATAATAATAACAATTATTATTATATATTATTAGCCGGACGACCACTGCGGGGTAAAAACGTGTCGGGATGTGAACACCTACCATGATAATATAGGTATACCTATCTACGGGTTTTTTTTTTGTGTTGAGATTTAAAAAGATAATTTTCGGTTTTCGAATATAATAGATTCCTCGGCGCGCGCGTACCTAGATTTTTTTTTTTGATTTTTTTAATAATCCAAACGTTTACCGCGCAGAGGCAACGAGGCGGGTCATGTAATATTTACAAAATATTTCGTTAAAAAGTTTTTATTCGTCTTTTCACAGGAAACCTCTCCATTCATGTGCGTTATTACATCTATTAAATGATTTACTCGGACCTGCGACGAGTGTGTGTGTGTGTGTATGGTTTTCCGGCGGATTTGGCGTGAACAAAAAAACTTTTGTTTTATAGATTTCTCTTGCAGCGTATTACGGTCGCGGGTTACATGCAAGTAATATATATTTTATACTTTATTTGTTTTTTCTGTTTGCATTCGCACAACATATAGTATTATATCTATAGAGTCGGCTGGCACTATATCATATATTTATAATTTATATATTATGTATAGGTGTAATACACGAGCACTAATGGACTTTCTACGAACAATAATATTATAGCAATAAAAATGAATCTGACGATTGTACCTACCGGACGACTCGGCGGTATTTGCAATAATTAGCGGTGTGTGATATCGTGTTGAGAAGTAATTTATTTTGATTTCGATTATTTCTGTTATATTTTTTTCTCCCGAAAGATGTTTTCTCCTGAGCGTGAAACAATAGTTTCCGAAACTAAACCGGATACAATCATGTATCCATTATTATTGTGTTTGTGTATATACTATAAGGTGTACATTATTATGTAAACAGTGAATAAACTACCTGTATATTATAATAATATAATAGAGATACACGGTGCATGTCTTGATTGACATTGCGTTCGCGTTCTGGAAAGATAACTGCAGCCTTTTTAATATTATTATATTACAGATACGATAGGTCCGATGCACCCGCGCTGTACCATTATAATATTATATGAAATCGATCGTTGTGACCGTGAAATGGACTCGAAACGACAAAAAATAATAGCACATTAAATGTGTTATTATTATATTATACATTTTATAATATAATATAATATACCGCAGCCATCGGCTTCCG